ATATTCTCAACTTCCTGCTACCAAATTAATAAATTATCTGAATTTATATTCACCTCTCCTGCTTCTCTTTGGCTAAACTGGAGAAGTATCTATTTCCCAGTTAGGATTAATTTTCCATTGAATTCTGGATTCTTATTGCTTCTACTCCTAAACTGCCTCCTTAAAAACAAAACAAACCTTTGATCTTGTTAGATAATAATGGCCATGAAAGATAAGGTGCTGAATGGTTTGAACCTTAAAAGCCAGTATTATGCCTGAAAGTAAGGTGGGGAAATAATGGCCTGGACATGAAGAGCTTTCTCTCTGCAGCCACTTCCTCAGTGCTCCATCCTCTCAGCCATCACAGTCTCCTTTCTAGTAGCATCTGTCCTGAGGGAGTGGTGTAATTAGATCAAGAAAAAACTATACTTGGTTCCTCTCACGGTATCTTTTGCCTATTCATAAGGCTTGCCCTAGGCTGAGTTTAAAATTAATGCTGCAGATTACTATAGTCAGATGATCTTGTAGCGGGGCTACTGAACATCTGGTGTTGTGTGTGTTACGTAACGAATGCATGCAAGTTATTTTACCATACAGTATGTTAGAATATAAAAAAGGCTATTAGAAATCCCGCTGTTCTGAAATAGCCACCATTAGCATTTTGTTGATCGTGTGTGTGTGTATGATTTCACAGAAATGAGGTCATAGCCTATGCTTTTATTGTGGACACTCCTGTCCCTTCCTCCACATTAGTACCTCCTTCTCATTTTGCTTCCAGGTAACTTATATTAAGAACTTAGTCTATATCTCTCCACATTTTTTTTCTATACTTAAGACAATCCTATATAATGCACACAAATATATTTACACACATATATAAAAGAGGTCTTTCTGTCATTGTCTGATGTTATGAAACAGTATACTATTTAACTAGAAAATGATATTATGTGACTTTACAACAATAATGAAGATAAGTTTATTACTGCTGGTTTAGGGTTGCCAGATAAAATACAGAACAGCCACTCAAATTAGAATTTCAGATGAATAGTGAAAAATTTTCAGTATAAATATGTTCCATGTAATATGCTGGCATACTAAAAATTGGCTGGTGGCTCATGCCTGTAATCCCAGCACTTTGGGAGGGTGAGGTGGGCAGATTATAAGGTCAGGAAATCAAGACCATCCTGGCTAACACAGTGAAACCCCGTTTCTACTAAAAATACAAAAAATTAGCTGGGCATGGTGGCATGCACCTGTAATCCCAGCTTCTTGGGAGGCTGAGGCAGGAGAATCGCTTGATCGCGGGAGGTGGAGGTTGCAGTGAGCCAAGATTACACCACTACACTCCAGCCTGGGCAACAGAGTAAAGACTCCATCTAAAAAAAAATTTTTTTTTAAATCATTGATCTGAAATTCTAACTTAACTGGGTGTCCTGTATTTTTAATTACTAAATCTCGTGACCTTATGCTGGTGAGATATATGAAAGTAGCCTCTTGTTTTACAAAGGTATTACATAAAAAGCATTTTGTCTTATGTGCTCACCCTGATATAGGAAGCACTGAAGCAGCAACATATATATTGTAGAATAAATACTGGTATGTGGAGAAAAAGGATCTTATAACTATTTCAGGATTATCATAGCATTTAAAAAATTCTCACCAAAATCCAGAATATACTTGAAATTTACCATCTGATATATTCTCTTACCTCAGCATAAGCTTTGGCCCATGTACTCGCCAGCTGATGTAAATCTACCTCACCTGATTTCACAGCTTCCAGGGATGCTTCAGCATCTCTATCATAATCTCTGAGAGATTCCTCTTCTATAAACTGAGTCAGAGCTTCTTTTAAGTCTGTTACAGGGATATCAAACACCATCATCAGCAAAATCCAGGTATAAATAGGGAACATTTTACCTGGCTGAGAATTCCAATGTGAAATCTTATTTTTAAATTTTTATTTATTTATTTTATTTACAGATGGGGTCTCTCTCTGTTACCCAGGCTGGAGTGTAGGGGCATGATCACAGCTCACTGAAGCCTTGACTTCCTGGACTCCAGGGATCCTCCCACCTCAGCCTCCAGAGTAGCTGGGACCAAAGGTACATGTCACCAAGCATGGCTAATTTTTGTATTTTGGTAGAGACAGGTTTTGCCATGTTGCCAAGCTGGTCTCGAACTCTTAAGTTCAAGTTTTCCACCTGTCTTAGCCTCCCAAAGAGCAGGGATTACAGGTGTGAGCCACCTTACCTGGACATGAAATGTTATTTTATCAAGCTGATACTCAATATAATCTCCAACTAAAATGAAACCAGCTTAGGGGATCATTTATCTAATTTCGTGTTTATTTTTCTTTACTATTACAGGCTATTGCATAGAGAAAGGTCAAAAGTCTTATCTCTTATGTATACCCTTAATTATAACGAAGTAATGTTACTTTCTTAAGCCTGATAATTCAGTTTGAAGCCAAGTGAGTATGAGCACATAAAGAAAATGCTACAGATTTTAGGGGTCTGAACATAACTGTATTTAGATTAAAAACAGTTTTCCATGTAACTTTACAGGGTACATTGTTACATGCTTTGAAAGAGAAGAGGAATGACTATCTTATTAAAACATTTCACTCAGATCAGATTTCAGTTTTACAGACACCATTTAGAGAATGACATAATAGAAGAGTACTGAGAAAGAAGTTAGGACACCTGTGTTCTAGCTTTGGCTCTGTCACTATGTCTGTGACTTTAGATAGTGGTTCATAATCTTGAACATTCATTAGAATCCCCTGGATGCCTTATTGAAACAGACTGCCAGATGCTACCCCAGTTTCTGATTCAGCAGGAATGGGATGGAGCCTGAGAGTTTGCATGTCTAACAAGCTCACAGGTGATGCTGTTGCCAGAAGCCATATTTCAAGAACCACTGCCTTAGGTAAATAATTTAACCTCTTTATGTCCCAGATTCCTTATTTGTACAATACGACTGGGTTATAAGGTTTCTAGGTCTCTTGTAACTCTAACCTACGATTTAACATATTCTGAATTTTAAATTTTCCTAGACTGTGAGATAGAACACAGACCTCTAAAAATGGTTTAATACATATCACTTTATAAAAGTAATTTAGGTCAGCAAAGACTATTCAAAAATTAGTACACTTTCTGTTCTATGGCATCTCAGAAGCTAATGACCAGATTATTAAAAGGGCAACCAATCTAGTGCTACAATTCTATAATACCACAAGCTGAACTGCCTTATGACTTCACTCAGAGAAATTCAAAGAGCTCCTCTAGTCCAATCTTTGTATCTGATTTTTCATTATAAAATCGAATTTGTATACCTTACAAACAACTACCAGAGTTACAGGAAAAACACTCAATAAAAGAAAGCTCTGAGGAAGTGTACTGATTCTTGGAATCAGTTACTATTTTATGGCTGTTTCCAAAGCTTCTTAGGTTTATGCTTTCTAATATGAAACTTCTAAGGACAAATACTGTTGAAAATAATAAAGTGGTATTACCTAAAAAAAAGAATCAGTCCTCACCTTTTTCTATAAAGCACGGTAAATTGTGCAGCTGCATCAGACGTCCATGCAAATGACTGGCATTCTCTTGAATGGGAAATCTGAGTGGCACTCTCAGTTCTAAGCACTGACTTCCTACTTTAAATTCATACACAATTCTCTCTCTCTACTGCAGAATCTTTCTCTGTTTTTCTTCATATTCTTTGACAGGATTTCTATAGAACTAACAAAAAAGCAGTAGGTTATGAGTCCATAAATATACTATGTTTCATTATTGCTGTCCCACTTCTAAGAAAACATTCCGCCATTCAAGAGATTTTATCTGTGTGACTATGAGCCAATTATTCTAGTTTTTCCCAAGTGTTATCCCTGTACTCCTATCTTCATGATGAAAACAAAGTGTTTTTTTAAAAAAAACAAACAAACGAAAAACAAACAAAAAAAACCCACTTTGTTTTAAACTTGATTTAAGAAAAAAAATTATGGCCATGAAGTACTTTATATTCCAAGGCAGGGTTCTCAACAACAAGGAAGGACCACGGAGAGAAGAGCAGAGAGAATTCTTAGGGAGAGCGCATGGGTGGGAAAATACAAAGCTTATGAAACAGTTCCTAAAAGAAAGTCAAAGAAACAGATCAGGGACCAAGCAGTGATCCTGGAGAACTTAGAGACTGTGGTCATGAGCTCTGATTAGGGAAAGGGAGTAAGAAAGTGTTAGAAAGATTTCCATGTGGGAAGAACATATACAGAAAATAGAGGGTACAGGACCTCGACTTCCACCCCAAAGGGTGCCAAAGGTAAACTAGACACTATTAAGAAAGAAAATCTAGTTAAAGGCAGTAAGAATCAACACTGATTAAAAATTTATTTATTCATCAGCCTTGTAACTGGACTCCCTATGGCTAGGCTTTCTCTATCAAATCAGTTATTACATTATTTTCTACACTGAAGTTATAGGAATCTTATTTTATTTATTTATTTATTTATTTTTGGGTGGGGGGGGACAGACTTTCACTCGTTACCCAGGCTGGAGTGCAATGGCACGATCTCGGCTCACCGCAACCTCTGCCTCCTGGGTTCAGGCAATTCTCCTGCCTCAGCCTCCTGAGTAGCTGGGATTACAGGCAGGCGCCACCATGCCCAGCTAATTTTTTGTATTTTTAGTAGAGACGGTGTTTCACCATGTTGAACAGGATGGTCTTGATCTCTTGACCTCGTGATCCACCCGCCTCCACCTCCCAAAGTGCTGGGATTACAGGCTTGAGCCACCGCGCCCGATTTAATTTTATTTATTTTTTTGAGCCGGAGTCTCCCTCGGTCGCCCAGGCTGGAGTGCAGTGGTGCGATCTCGGCTCACTGCAACTTCCACCTCCCTGGTTCAGGCAATTCCCCTGCCTCGGTCTCCTGAGTAGCTGGGATTACAGGCATACGCCACCACGCCCGGCTAATTTTTTTGTATTTTTAGTAGAGACGGGGTTTCACCATGTTGGCCAAACTGGCCTCGAACTCTCGACCTCACGCAATCCACCTGCCTCAAAGAGGTTGGGATTACGGGCGTGAGCCAAACCGCCCTGGCCCATAATCTCCTTTTAAAAAAAAGAATCTACTTATCTGATCATGTTGTTCATCTGCTTAAAAACTTTTATGACATTCCATTGTCTCAGGATAAAATGTAAACTCCTTACGCCAGTTTACAACGCCCCTACTTGTATTTCCGCTCTTCTCTCAGAAACTGCAACCTCGCCTTCCTAACACACAAATTCACAAATTTTATTTCCAGCCATTCTGAACTTCTGTCACAGCAAACTTCTCTTTCCATGCCAAATGTTTTTGAATGTCTTTTCCTCTGCCTAGAGCACTCTTAACACTGATCTTAATTTCCTTGGATAGCAACTGCTAATTCTTCAGGTCCCAGTTTAGCCCCTCGGAAGACTTATCGAACTCCCTAAAACTGGATTGGGTCCCGACAGGCTCTCAGATTAGTCCGGATTTATTTGAATCATGGCACTTATCACGCTCTATTTGTTACCTTTGCTAGAAAACAGTCTTCTTGAAGTGGAAGGAATACTGTCTTGTATTCCATGTATTAGGCAGGATGCTGGGAATATAATGGCAAGAACTAATAAATAATTGTTGGGGTTGTATGGCGTTTTTATTTTATGGGACTCACTGGAAAAATAAAGAAACAGAACAAGTAATTATTCATACAGTTCTTTAAAAATATATCACTTGAAATATAAAAAAAATCTCAGACAAAAGACTTTGTACGTGTGTGGAGGTGGGGGGAGGGGGTGAGGGACGTGGCTGATGAGTTGAATTATCTAGACTATATTTTCAAATATGCATGTAGGCTGTACACAAAATTATCATCTATTTCACCATCAAGCAAAGAGGGCAGGTGTTTATGTTTTACTCAGAAATAATTAGTTAACTAACATTTATTAACTTAAAGCAATAAAAACTTTTATAGTGTTAGAAAACTACCCGAAGACTACACAAAGGTCTAGTCTATGATGTAGAAATTCCACTCCTAAAGTTATATATCCAAACACACACACGAATATGTTTGTTAAAATATATGCAGAAGAATGCTCATATAAGTTTTATTTATAAATAGCCCCAAACTGGAAAACACCAAAATGCCTATTATAGGAGAATGGTAAACTTGTTTATTTTATGAGATAAATACTACAACAGCATAAAAAAGAACCAACCACTAATAAATGTAAAAATATGATGAATCTGGAATGTTGAAAAAAAAAAAAAAACAACACAAAAGCACTGGTTCAACATTTAGACGTGTGTTTCAAGAAACCGATGATTTTAGTGCGTTCTTCTCCCTCACTCTTTTTTAGACTAATGGTCTATCCAGAAGCTGTGGCTCAGTTTTAGCAACTGGGAAATCTAGAAGATTTCCCATAAGAAAATGGGCTGAGAGGAGGCTGGACCGAACACACAAGCACCAACAGAGCGGAGGCTGTGAGGCTCACATTAGTCAGGGAAAAGGGAAGGCAGACGGTCCGAGGCTAAGAAACGTAGCCGGGTGAGGGGGACGAACCCCTCTGCAACGGGAGTCAGTTTGAAAAGGGCTTCCTCACTCTCGGTTCTGGCCTCACCTCGCCTAGTTCCGAAGTCCTTGAGCCGTCCGTTCCCTCGAGCTGTCAAGTCGTCTAGCCCCGGGAAACCAGCTGATTTACCGCTTATTTTTACAGCCCGCTGATCCGCCACCGCAGATTCGCCACATTGTTTTTCTAGTTCCTGGCATCTTGTAGAAAATTTCTCAAGTCCAAGTCCCCTTTTCTCAAACTGTCTGCTCAATTTACCATTTTAAAAATGTAAGAAAATGTATTTCTACTGTTATTCTGTATTTCAGAGACAACAAAAACCCTCCGTTGTGACGAAAGTGCAGAGACAAAGCACAAGCTCAGCTCTGGTGGACCGGATACGGAAAAGTGGTGTCTTGGGAAGGGCGGGAGCAAATTCGCTTTCCTAACTGCGCTTGCGCAGCCTTCAAGCATGGCTGGTGGTGATTGGACGACGGGTAGCAGGGGGCGGAGGGTGCCGATGTCTGGTTTTGGGCGGGAGTTGAAACCGCTACTGCAAACCAACAAGAACTTGAGAACTGTAAATATCAAGTCTCGAAAGGGATCATGGTGCGGCCTGTAAGGTGGGTAGTTCCTGACATTGGTGGGGGTGGGAAGAAAACTTAGGGGCATTACATGAGACTAAGGGAAAAGGATCGACTAAGTCCGGATCGCAGCGGTGGTGTGGGGTAGGAATAGTCGGTTTATCGAGAATTCAGTCTCCAGTGATACCTGTAGCTCAGAAGTATCCTAGCTCGTGCTTTTTCCTTCTCTTTGCCTCCTTCAAACAGCCGTTGCCGTTTCTTTTATCAAGACCTTGTAATGTTAGCGTTTGAACAGCGCTTTACATTCACCGAGCGCCCAATTTTGTGTTATTTTAGTTGTTCATCACTGTAGTTATTTAATATAGAAAAGAGTAAACATTTCTGTTTTATTGATTTAACATTTCTACGTATAGAGGGTAAGTTACCTCAGTCATACTACCCAGTAAGTGGCAGGGCAATACTCAAACCTAACTCATCACACTGCAGATCGCCTGTGCTTTCCATTACAGTATTAGAAATGAGTCCTCTATTTACAGCTGAGTGCCATGGAAGCCTACGATTCTTAGTAAAGTTATTGAACATATTCACTTCTATAATGTATGAAGTGCTGGAGGTTACATTCTAGTGGGAGGTGAGGTTAAGGGCCGAAATATAAGCATCGAAATATGATAGAGTGCAAAGGAGCAAAGCACTACTTTAAATATAGTAGTTATTTTGTGCCTCTCTGAGGCGATAATACATGCACTGAGTCATGAATCCGGGTAGAGGGAAGAGGAGCCAAAAGCCCCATACTTGACTATGTTTTAGGGACAGTCTAAAGCTGTAGGATTAACAAGCAGTGGGGAGAATCGTAGGGGATTGGGTCAGAAAAATACGTGCCAGAACAGATAGGGTCTTTTAAGTCTTAGAAGGAGTGTTAGGTTTTGTTTTAAGTCAATGCGAAGTCAGTGGAGGGTGTTTAAGTAGGGGAGAGAAATCTAAGTTTGCTTTATAAAGGTCACTGGCTGCTTTTGGAGAATAAATGATGGATGATGGGGTGACCAGAATGGGAGCAGGAAAATCAGGCTGTTATATCATTGGAGAGCAGTTTGGCATAGGGTATTATCAGTGGACATGGAATGGAACAGATGAATTTGAGATGTGTTTTGGAGCCTGCAGACAGAACTTGCCGATGAAGTAGATGTACAGGTCAGGGAAAGAATCAGAGATGACTCCACAGTAGTTTTGGTTGAGGTACAGAATGGATGATCTTTGTATTAATTAAGATAGGAAGACTAGGAAAAGGAAGGATGGATTAGAAGGTGTGAGGGATCAAGATTTCTGTTTGAACATGTTGAATTTGAAATGGGCTTTAAGTATCAGGCAGTGAAGTCATAATCCCATTGTATGGAACAGCAGTTGTTAAAGTATGTTCTGCAGACTTCTGGGAGTCGCTGGAAACTTCTCTAGAGGTCTATGAGATCAAAATTCTTTATAACAAAACTAAGACATGATTTGCCTTTTTCATCACTTTTATCCTTTGCGCTGCAGTGATGATAAAACTGCTGGCACCTCAGAACAATTAAGGCAGTGACACCAAATTGTACTACTAGTCTCTGCATTGCTTACTGCCATACTCTCAAGAGTAAAAAAAAAAAATTCAGTTAAGAATATGCTTGATGAAGTAGTGAAAATTATTATATTCATTATAGCTGAAACCCCTGAGTATACTTTTTAAAAATAGGCTATTGATTTTATTTTACTGTTATTCAAGTTCAGAATTTCTAAAGGGGTTTTCATATCTATTCAGCTCTAAATTCTTTAACTCTGAAGAAGAGAGTAATGTGAGTGTACTTTTTATTATTTTGTGTGAGGCAATGGGAAGTATACATAAGCACTTCTACATACTGATGCATGCTAGTTATCTCAAGGAAAGCACTTATGAGATTGTTTCAGTTGTAAGCTGAGCTTATCTTTCTCATAGAACATTATTTTTACTTGAAAGAACAAACAGCTGACAAATTAGGTTATTCACATTTGGACATTTGGCAAGAGATAGAAATAAAAACTAGAAAACCATTTATGTGCCTAGTGCCTAGAGGAGGGGGGAAGAAAATTATTTTTCACTTCGAATATCATTTTCTTCTAATGTCCTCTAAGTAGTACAGGTTGAACATCCCAAATTTGAAATGCTCAAAAATTTGAAGCTTTTGGAGTACCTACATGACATTCAAAGGAAATATACATTGGAGCATTTCAGATTTTAGATTTTCAGATTTGGGATGTTCAACTGGTAAGTTTATAACACAAATATTCCAAACTCTGAAAAAATCCAAAATTCAAAAACATTTCTGGTTCCAAGCATTTGCATTTCAGGGAGGAATACTTAGCCTGTATAAAGATTCATCTTAGGTGGGGAGAACAAGGTCACTCACCATTTTTAAGTGTCCATTGCATAAAAATATTATTTGGTATTGTGGAGAGATTGATAAAAAAGAAAGTAGCTTTTAGTGTCAAGAAATGTGTAATCTAGTAGGGAATATAGAATGCACACACAAACAGAAAGAACACAAACAACGGGAAACTTAGAAACGCCCAACAACAATTAAACAGTATAGAATTATAAGCATTAATTATATGGATTATTCTTACTTAATAAGTTATCTGAATTTTTTCCCTTTATCATATAATCAAAAAGCCAACGATACCCGATATATCAGGTATAGTTGTAACTATTTTAGCTAATGATAAATCCCTGCAGTAAAATACAAATCATGTTTTTAGATTTAAATGTTCTTATGAGAACCCAAACACATTTTCATTTATTCAAGACTGTTACTGGCCTTAGTAAGATAGAGGTGAGAAATTAACATTTGTGTTAATGAGAAAATTCTGTTTTGGTCATAGACATAAGAAACCAGTCAATTACTCACAGTTTGACAACTCTGACAGTGATGTAAGTAAGCTTCTTATTTTTGCTTTAAAGATTTGGAAACTAATTTCCTCAGAATTTATATGACCTAGCTCAAATACTGACTGAGCTGCCCAATTGCATATGAGGTAAGTCTGGAAAGATAGTTTTCTAAGCATTTTGGATAATTACTCTCGGTCTATAGTTGTCACATTGAGGTTTGTCTCCTGTCTCATCTCCGAAGAATCTCTATTAATGGAAATATAAAACAAGACCTTGAAGAAAGGTTAGGCTTATGCCTTTTGAACATGAGTCATAGGTTTACTTGACTCTGCTATGATTGGAAAGTTGAGGAACATTGCATTAGATTATGTTATACGTTGAAATGGATTTAATATTTCTTTCTTAGACCAGTAGAGTTTTCTGTAAGTCAAATATTAGTAAGTCTTTGGTCTGAAGCAGTCTGTTTTTGCCTAGAGCACAGCCTTAAACTGTACCTGCCACTTGGGAAAAAAGTATAGAATACAACCTCTAGCTTTTATTATTAGTTTATAAGTATCAGTGTGTCACCAGATACTTATAAACTGCCAGGTGTGTAGTAGGTGGGGGTGGCAGCAGG